AATGGGACTTCATCTGATATATCAACTATCCCCCAAAGAATATCGGATTTCAGAACAGGGCCGCAGGCAGGAAGCTCAGAAGAAGGGATATCAGGCGACGCACGAGGATACTACGAGTCATGAATGCTTACAGCGAAGAACTTAATCGTCCCAATGTAGGAGCCCATACATTAGGAATGTATTGTAGAATCATGTCTAGATTCGTAACAAGTAGATCGCACTAAATGTAAATACCCCTTTTCTATCCCTTTTTTAATTGCTTGTGTTATTGTGTTTCTAATAAATATGTCACAATCCCAAACGAACATGAGAGGGGAAAGGGCAACAAACATAAAACAAACCAAATACATGTATAAAGAAAAAGTAATGAGAATAAAATGAAATTACAAACAAAGAACAAAAGCAAAAGCAAAATACAAATAAAATTCCGTTTCGTTCCTATCCTTAGACGGAAAAGTTACAATAAAATTTGGATAGAGCCCTCCCCGGAACTCATCAGTAGGGAGGGAGGGCTATTGGTAAGAACGGACATAAGTAAATGAAAAATGCAAATAAATAAATATGTCGAGACGCAGACTAGTTAGATGGTCCGACAGTCCCCACGCCAACTGGGCGTGCCCAGCAACTCCAGATGAGCTGTGCCTAACCGGGTGACCGGCGGTTTCCCTTCCCCTCCCATTCTATTTATAAATATATAATAAAGATTCTAGTCATAATGTCATGTTCATATAAAGTAAGACAATCAGGGTGAAGGATTCAAGTCAGGAGAGTGCACCTCCTGGACTTGACAAATGTTACATGCAAGCATTACAACAAAGAAACAAACCTAACAACAGATCCTTTGTTGTTGATCGCAGGCCTTCGCTGATTTTGTTGTGCCATGGCCTTCCACAGAACAAAGAAGAATCGCGGGAAATACAAGGATTTACGAAAAGAGAATGATAAAAACACATAAATAGTAATGAAAGCAAGTTAAATGAAACACTATAGCACAACAATAACCAAGAAAAAATAGAAAAAACAGAGATGATAAAATAAAATGATAAATTATCATTTTGCTGCGGCGGTGACTCACCGATTGATAAGGAGATTCAAATCTTGCCGCCGAACGACTACGCTCGCCTCCGCATGCGCGTCGCGGCCTCCACGGCAGGGGCGTGGCCTAATACGGCGCGTATACGGTAGCGCGCCCCCGGCTGCCACATGCTATCGTTCATAAAGTCATACACCCGTCAAACCGTCCTCTATCTGCCTATGGTGAGAAAAGGATGCGAATAAGAGCGCAACTTTTTGTCGTGACTAGGCCTTATCACCAATCGAGCTGTTTACGATACGCATGCGCATTCCATAAAATATGCAGGCGTGCCTTCTATGCAAAAGCTGACTAGCTCTCAAGGTGCTGAACTACGTTGCGCTGAGTATCAGTGTTCATACTCCACAGCAGTAATAGGCGCGCTGAGCGTCGATTGTAATGCGGACAGCTAATTTGTATCTGTCACGTCTTTACACGGAGTTGTATTCAGTCGCATCGTTTCATGATTTAAGTCGTTTACCAACATGCGAATGCATTTTGTTCTTCGCAGCACTGTAAATTTTGCTTGCTGCACCACGCTGGCATTTTACCCTACGCGAAACACGGATTCAGTTACGACATGATAGATACACCAGCTGTAGGGCACGAATTGTTGCGTGACCACGGGATAGAGGAGATCACAGGGCTTATCAATTGCAAAGTAAAGTTTGTAATTCATCTCCATTTGCCAGGCTTACATCAAAGGGTTGAGGTTTCCAGCAATTTAGTCCTTGCGTAAACAGGTACTGATCGGACAAAGTGAGAGAACGAATGAACAAGAACAAAAATGGTGAAAGAACAAAAAGTGAGCACGAATGGACACAAGATTCAAATTCCGTGCCAATAACGCGCTCCATGGCGAATCCAGCCAAATAAACGCCGTGCCGTTACTCAGACACTCACTGTTGAGTCGCGCCGGAGATCCACCCCTTTTTGAGGGATTCGCGGGAAAGGGCGTAGACATGCGCGAGACAATATTTTGGCAGTTTTTGCGGATGGTAGCGAAAGGAAATCGGGAGATGATGAGTGACTTAGCGAGCAGTTTCGCAATATCGACGCGCATTTCAAATCTCATATTGCATCGTTCCAGGTTTTTTGCTACATATTTTCAGAATTCGTGCATTCCATCCATTCCACCTAAGCCCTCCTTTCCATTATTTCATTCCAATCCAAAATTAACTTTATTTGAAATCCAATTTTGAAGCTTCTTCTCTAGAGATCGAAGCTCGACTATCTCCGTGATTGTGGGATTGTGGAATTTGAGTTCAAATTACATTGGTTCAGAAACCAGCTGAGGCATTCAAGGTATTTCAAGGCAGGATGATGGAGATGGAGACGTAGATGGGAGATGTACGGGCTTAAGTACTGAATCCGGTAAGAGCTAAACTCCTTCCTCCAAAGGTAAGATGTCAGTGCACTTATTCCCACTCTTCGTCGACATGGTTTTTTCTTTTCAGAAGAAGCGTGTGATCGAGACTACGGCAAGCAGCTCTTCTGCTGTCAAGGAAATAGAAAAGACCTGCCACGACGAGTTTTAGCCAATCTGCTACTACTTTTTTCTAATTTGCTGTACTTACATATCACTATCATATCATGTGCTTTAACTCTACTCCCGCTTTTGCGTATCACTTAATTGTATTCCGAGATTATATAAATATATATAATGTATATTTATACATACACATATAGGTATATACATATATGTGATGTACAGCAAGTAGGGATATAGCGAAATTACTAGTGCGAGATGACGCGCTCCAGTTGCGTCCGGACATCAGGATGTGTCGCCCTCGAGCTGCCGCGTATTTCCTGCAAGATGCTGGTCGCGTCAAAGCGTGGTCTCGGGCAGCATTGTTCCGGCACATAATGCTGTCTCGGGATTTCGTCGCGAGGCCAATTAATTGTGTCGCGCCTTCATTCAGCGCTTACACAAAACTTTGGGCTGCGCGAGTCAACAGCGAGTGTCTGAGTAGGTAGGTGCCAGAGTAAGCGAATATTTTGTTCAAGTTGGGGTCCCGCGCAGAACTGGCATCACTAATCATTGTGGCATAATGCCAACTTGGCGTTGTGCCACAATGATTAGTAACGCCAGTTCTGCGCGGGACCCCAACTTGAACAAAATATTCGCTTACCCTGGCACCTACCTTAGGTAGATGCCAGAGTAAGCGAATATTTTGTTCAGGTTGGGGTTCCGCGCAGAATTGACGTCACTTGGATTGACGTCAGCATGGTCTCAGACACTCGCTGCGGCGGCGGGCGCGCCATAATAGCGCTACAGTGCGAGCGGCGCGCCCTAAATGCTGCCGTGCGAGCGGCGCGCCCTATTTGATGCTGCCGTGCGAGCGGCGCGCCCTATTTGAGGCTGCCGTGCGAGCGGCGCGCCACAGTTGAGGCTGCAGTGCGAGCGGAACGCCATCATTCGCAGCCGGCGAGCGGCGCGCCTTATTACGGCCGCCGGCGCGCCTATTCGACACTCGGCGCGGCGGCGCGCGCGCCATTATAGCACTGTATTGCGAACGGCGCGCCCTAGTTGAGAGTGCGACCGGCATGCAATTTATCAGTGAGTGGCGTGCCATATCTTCCGCATTCTCACACGCTGTAAGCACAAGCGATACCTGCGTGAAGTACGACGCAGTGTTTTGGGTGCTTTATCACTAATTCATTGAGGTTATCGCTGTTTCGCAATGGAGTTGTCTCATTAACACAAGCGGGATTCTTCTAGTTCTTCCACTGAAAGTCAGTCTCCATAAGCACCGCGAATAGGTGCCGAGTTTGAATTCAAATTTGGAAATTTGACTTCTTGAATCTTTGAAATTTGAATTTTCAAATTTAAGGTTTGGAAACTTTAAGTTCATATTTGAAATTGAAGCCATTGTTTGCCTGAAATTGAAGGTTGTCATTAGGTCTACTGCAGATTCACCGTGATTCGCAGTGCTTCAAATGCGAATGGCAATTTTCATACCGTGCGAGCGGCGTGCCATTATCGTGTGGCGCGCGTCCGATCTACTCACGGCGCGCGTACCATTTACTCGCGGCGCGCGTGCCATCTACTCGCGGCGCGCGCGCCATTTGACGGCCGGCGGCAGGCGACATGGGGGGCCGCACGCATAATGCGCGCGCGCCGCCGCAGCGAGTGTCTGAGGTGAGGTAGGTGCGGGTGGGGGAACGAAAGCCGCCAGGTCCAGCCGCCTCCGCGGACTGCTGGTCCTGGAACGACATGCAACAACGCTGCGAAAGGACCAGCTGGCCGCGAAAGGCGGCTGGACCTGGCGGCTTTCGTTCCTCCACCCGGTAGGTGCCAGAGTAAGCGAATATTTTGTTCAGGTTGGGGTCCCGCGCAGAATAGATGTCACTCACCACGCTGGCGTCAATCCAAGTGACGTCATTCTGCACGGGACCCCAACCTGAATAAAATATTCGCTTACTCTGGCACCTACCTTACCGGTCGTCCTGATGCAGGACCACGCTGGTTGGAGCTTCGCCTAGGTGTGCACTACATATGCCACAATCTCATAACTTTCATTGTAAACTGGCTAAGTTAGAGTTTTAGAAAACTTACGACCCACCGGCAGGTCGTATTGTCCGAAATGGCAGAAGACATACGACCCACCGATGGCTCGCACTGCCGTGAAAATGTCAACAACCACCGTTGCAAAGTAACCAATGATTATTTTGCTCAAGATAGCGTCCGACAGGGCTCTTCGACCGAGATGGTGCAACTGCAGAACGCCCATTTTCTTTACGCCTCAGGAATGATTATGTCATTTAGAGTTTCGCTTCTCATCGCTTTTCAGTTTCTTTACGTGCAGCAAATAAGATGCAGAGTTCGAGAGGAAAAGCAGTTTCATCAATTTTTTTTTCTCTCAACGCTTTGTGCTACAAAAGCTATTAGGAGCACGTCCTTTTCCATTCGTTTTTTCTCACACGTACCCTCTTTACAGATGTCATCTCCGGATATTGATAATCTCATAAAATCTTTGACTTCATCCAAAAGAGCGACCCCACAATCGGTTTACAAGCGGACATTGTCGTTCATCGACAACATTAACAAAAAGCCGCCGCCTGTTCAAATGGCTGTCGGAGGAGGAGCAGGATTGTAGGTTTTACAAAGTCATCTCTGCTTTTTTAATCTATTCATGTCTACGAGGCAATTCTCTGGATTTGATTGTGTTTTTTTATCGCATCTAGATATGTTCGACTGTTGCATTTATAGTATTTTGTGTTTTGGAGTCCATTTGTATGCAAGAGCATCTCGACTTACTTTATAACTCAGTTTTCAACGAGTAAAACAAAAGCTCCCTCGTCGAGACTTTGCGTTTTTTTTGCATCTTGTTCAAAATGAAGCCATGCTTTCCCCCTCCAGTTATTTGACATCGACAGGTCACATACGTTTAGACAAACTTGAAGCTGATTTATTTGAAGAGGTACCTTATACTATGTCCATGCCCTTTCATTGCAGATGTGTCGGCTACATATTCACTCGAACAAGCAAAGCTGTAGCGACAGCCCTAGGAGTATCTCTCGTCGCTTTCCAGGTCATGTTTGCCTCTTTTTGTTTTGAAAAATTCTTACTAGCAGCTGATGCGCAAAAAGCTGTTAGCAGCTTACGATCTGTCGTGGAGCCGCTTTCTTCATATTTTCTTTCCTTTTATGTTGCAAGATTTTATTCTCTAAGTTGTTCCACATCTTTTTTGTTAATTACGCTCACAGCGATTGGACCAGCTTGAAGGCTGTTCAAGGTGATACTAGGCCATCTACATACGTATTTTTCTGACTTTGATCTTTGCATATAATGGTGTGGCTGGCGTTTGGCATTTTATTTTTTTTGCGAATTTCAGATATCTTGCACGATGTTCTGCTCTGAGCTGGTATATCTGTCTCGTGCATTACGCTCTTTCTGTGATAATCTTGCCTAAAGTTGCTGTTCTTATACTCGCCGTCCCCTATTACCCATCCCGGTTACCTACATTCGGTTTGCAATCGGGAATTGATAACTTCGGCGGCACATGGTTCTAATCTGAGTCTGAAACATAAAATCCACCCACGTTAGGCCCAGTTGCAAGCGGTTGGGATATCCATGCTCTATATTCACTTATCAACATAGGTGTACCCAGCCCTTGGTTATTTGCAACGGTGCGAAAAACCGAAAACTGATAGAGCCTTCATAGTTCAAAAACGTTCATAAATTCTTATCCTCATGTTCACTTACTACCACTGTACCTACCCAGCTCAAAATGTGCTACAAAAAGTCTGCCGAAAGACTATCACTTTTTGAACGGTATTCGGTGCATGCCACTTTCTCTCTCTATCAAAATCTTCAGCTTTGCAAAAAAAAACCATCGGTTAGGTGAAAAAGTAGCTTGGACTATTCATACTACCCAAAGTTTAGTCTGGATTGTTTCAAAATGGTTTCTAACGTGACCCAAAGCAAACATCAGGCGGGTATCACACTTCTCTTACGAGATGATAGCTTCATGGGGTCATTGCTCGAGATGAAAAGTGATTACTGGCAAAATCTTTTGTTTGTTCAAGCTACAACTGGTTGAACGCGCTGACGCGAATTATTTCTTATCTTCTTATCACTTGCATGAGCAAGACGTCTTACTGCTCAGACACTTTTTCCGACGGCCCGCGCGCCTTGAGCGTGCGAGCGCTCATGCCTCCCGCCGCCCGTGGAATGAAGGTACGCGGCTCGCTCGCTGAAGGTGCGCCGCTCGCCCGCTCCTTCGAAAGCGTTGTAGGACCCTATTGTGATACAGATAGCAATCCTTTGATAAAATTCATATTTTGTTATTGAATTCGACCTCATAGCGTCAGATTTATTGCCAAACATGTATACATGTATGATGATGACATATTTACCATTCAAAGACTTACAGAACGATATAATACAGTATCAAAAGCAGAACATAACAGGCAACAACTATAATATCATTTTTGCGCTAAGCACCCTGAAAACACGTAAAGCACAGCAGCCATGCTGATACTGAGAAAGCACTGTTAGATACCGGTAAGAATGACCCGACTGAGCAAAAAAATCCTGTCAGAATCATGACACTGAGGCAGTGAACACGGAGATTTTGATGAACGCTTAAAGCAAGGTACCATTATATTACGGAAGATGAAACACAAAAGATAAGACACTGAACAATACTTGAAAAGAAAACACAAAAAGAAAAACCTAGACAAATCAATTTTTTCTGGAGGAGACGTTGGAAAGGAATTATGCAGATGTTGACAGGCGTTAGCTGATGATTGAGTTGCTGCTACGTAATCCTTTTTCGGTTAGTAACTTCCTTCAATCTTCGGCGGGTGCGGTACGTTTCTGGCGCTGAAAGAAGTGTCAGATCATCATTTAAGTATGCACAAATTCTCACCTTATTGGCTATCCATTTTCCTGACTCGTAATTGTAGTACCTTATATCTCGTCTGAAATCAAATTCTCGAACACTGTGAAATTCGTAAAGGATCTTTGGACTTACAGAGTCATTTGGAGAGATTTGAATAGTTGAGGTCGCCAATCTTGGCGCTGTTATCTTAGCTCAGAAAGCGCTTCATTCTTTTCTTTTCGGTATCTCCAAGGTTTGTATAAAATCTGAAACGCAAATCTTTCGGTTGTTGCGGATCCTGTTTTAGTCACTCACAAAGAAAAAACTCGCGTCTTTGGTACACGTTACCTGGAAAACAAAGTCTAGGAAACATAACAGAAAGGAAAAAAAGCAAAAGCTATGAACCTTGTGGAACTTCTAATTCCATCTGGATATCTGAGGGTGCCCCTTCGTCTTCGACAATATTTTCCACAAAAGGATTCTCTCTACTGAAAACGAAACTACTAGAGGTAATAAAACCAGATAACAAACATAACCAGTGAGACATGGTGGAAAAACAGGTCTAGGCTTCGCGTACGTTTGTGGTCCTCCAGATTTACGCTTGAGACTGAAAATATTGTAATATCAGGAAAAAACATAGCAAACAACTCTGGTGACTGCACCAAAAATCCGCACGAAAACGTCCCCTGCATAGCTTCGGTAGGGGTCGAAATCACAAATCGGCAAATGTATCTTTTCCCTGTGCTTTGCCTAGGCAAAAGCCGCAGCAGGGTGTGTAGCGTACGGCGGTGGTCGTGCGTGCAAAGTTTCACGATCGTCCGAATCGCCGTACACCCGTTTCAGGCAGAAACGTTTTACACCCGTTACCGTGTAGCTACCGTAATCCGAGAAAAAGACGCTACAGTTCAAAACCAATGTGATATTTAGCATCAGCGGGCCGAATAACCCCTCTGGGCCAAGTTCCGGGCAAATCTATGATTTTGGCCCCCTACCGTAAGCCTACCGTAACCCTGCAGGGAGGCGTTTTCCTGGGGTGAAAGGGAGAGATTCGTGATCAACACGTCAGATAACCCCCTTGGGCCAAGTTTGAGAGAAATCCATGACAAAAAATTTGGGGCCCTGATAGCCGAATAGCGGACGCAATACGGACGCTAAGATGCTACGGAATAGGGAGCGCATGGATGACAATGACTGTGCAAATGTGAACCAGAAAAACCTACAAAGAATGGAGACGATTAGCCGGCAAAACGGACAAGCAACCAACTATACGATAACAAATGCAACCTCCTACGGCTAACAACGAGTTCAAAATGATGCTTACGCGTCTTGTTAATTTATGTTCGTTGTTCTTACATATTTGTTTATAGCGCGCCGCTCGCCCGGTCACTCAAGATGGCGCGCCGCCCGTCGAAGGCAAGGCGCGCCGCTCGCACGGCAGGTTTCGATTGCGCGCCGCCCGTCGGAAACGATGCCACGCCCACAAATCTAGGCGCGCCGCTCGCACGGTAGGCTCATGAAAGCGCGCGGGCCGTCGGAAAAAGTGTCTGAGTGGCATCACGCTTCCTTATTATCTTTTCTTTTCCTAAGGGTCTTCTAAATCATTTACATTTTCATAATGTATATATGGACTTCTTTTGAGAATTTCTACAAATGGTGCAGAACCCACTCTCGGCAGTACCGCGGCTATGTCGAAGAGGGAGAAGGGGAGGGGGATCTCTGGCTATTACCCCTAATTCCAATGAATGCGCTGTTTACCCTCTTTTCTCTTTTTCTTTGTTGTATTGGTGATTTCCCGTCGATTTTCGCTCTCGTTTTCGATTTGCATATCAGTGAACAGAGCTGCACTTTGTCTTTCCAGTTATTTGATTTCAACAGGCAGCTATGAATTTTAATTGGGAGTCCTCTTTATTGACACAGTCTTACTTCAAATGGGCTGCGTTGATTCCTGCAGCGCTATACTCCTTGTACAAGTAAGTACGGACCTGTCTTGAATATGATTGTTTTGATTCCTTGTATGAATGCAACTGGTTTGGGTTATGCTCTTATTTACTACCTGGCCCGCATCATCATCCAAAGTTATCTTACAAGGATAAAACCGTCTTGATCACTGGTGCTAGTTCAGGTACTGAATTTATCTCTAGTTTTCGGGTATATTCCAATTTTTGTAGGTCTCGGACGTGCACTAGCTTTTGAACTTTATAAGAGAGGTGCCAAAGTGATAGCAACAGCACGGAGCATTGATAAACTCAAAGAACTATGCGAGGATTTGAAGAAGAGCTACAGTGGAAATCCGCATGAACCTGCTTACAGGTAATGATTAATCTGAATGTATATTAGCTTGAGAGTTCATTTTATTTTGGCTTGTTTTTTCCGACGTTTACCCTTTTTCGTTTTGGCTGAATTGGTTCTGAGCCACTAATGCTGATTTTTTCCTTCCTTTTTTCACAAATTTTCTTCTCACTTATAAGTTACCTGGATGTTTGCGAGCCAATGGATGTGGAAGCTCTTACAAAACTGGCGATTGACGGAAAGACTGTTCATGTGCTGATCAACAATGCTGGTTTATCAATGCGAGGATCTATCCATGATACTCCTATCAACATCTATAAGTGAGCGCTTACTATTTTATATTATTCTCAAGCTTCGTTTTTCATTCCTCTATGATTACAGGCAATTGATGGATGTCAACTTTTTCGGACATGTCGTAGTCACTCAAAAGTTGCTAGATGCAATTCCTGATGATGGATGCATTATTGCCACCAGCAGCGTGCAAGGGAAGCTGCCCATCCCTTACAGAAGTGCCTATGCAGCTAGCAAACACGCTTTCCAGGTGAGCTTTCTTCCCACTTCATGTTGTTTTACTTCTTGAAATATTCATTCAGGCGTTTTTTGATTGTCTTCGATGTGAATCACGCCCTAATCTACACATACTCACCGTCTCAGCTGGTTATATGAATACAGGTTTTGGCACGCGCGCTTTAGACACTCAAGGACATCCTGTGGGTAAAGAGGATGCTAACCAATTGAAAGTACGTGATGCAAATTTTTATTATTGCATTTATACATGAAGCACGAATAATTATGAATCCATATTATTTGATGAAGATCTGTCACTAGTCCATCCGTTGATACCTTCCCAAGTATTGCGCGGGTCGTTCCAGTCTGGTCCCTTAGGCCATGATTTTGGATCAGGTAAAGGGAAAATCCCTTCTTCAAGGTCGGGATTCGGAACATCTTCAATATGTTCTATAGGAGCTGGAGTCGTGATCTGGAATGGATGTGATGATTCACTTTTTGCGCTAGTTTGCGAATTTTCTCACCTCGGGAAGCATCCATTGTTGGCGACTTTCTGTTTGAGAGGGGAATATGAAAGGTTGCTGTTGTTGTTGCTGCTGATCGAAGAATAACTGGGCGTTGTCAGCAAAGAATGGGAATTGGGCTGAAAAAAATATTGGGTTGTCAACTTGTTAACAAAAAGTAACATAGTTATCTGCCTGCTTGTACTATCCACCTAACATTCGACTACGAGAAAAGCTTGCAATTATCATTTTGAGTTCATAAAATCAACCGAAAAAATGGTTAGAATATTTGAGTTTCAAAAGCACCCTCGTAATGTTTTTTTTAACGTTTTTTGGAACTTCATCTATACATATTAATTCTGTCTTTGTTATCGTAAAATGTGCAACGATAATTCTACGTTTGCTTAGTCTTCCTGCTATGGTTTTCGAAATCTAAAATTACTTTGCTCATCAGTATGCCTTTTTATGGAAATAAACAGATCATGTGTGATAGACAGAATTTGATCATTGACCGTGAAAGAATTCGAAAAACTTGAAATCGCCGAATGCATCTGCTAATCTATCAATGTTAATGATACGGAGTGATTTATCTTTAACTTGAAGATTTGTTCTTTTTTATTGGCATTATGTACGGTCTCTATGAAATGTTTTGTCGAAAAAATATGACTCTAATGGAAAATGTTCCCAAGTAATGCTTTTTTTGTCGAGAAAGTTTGACTTATCTGATGGATTGGTACAGTTTTCATAATATTTCATTCTTTGTCAAAATGATTGAAAAACGATATTATCTGGTTTTGGTGCTGAAGGATAAGCGTCGATCAACTTTTTTGATCATAAGCGTGTGAGTAAATTTGACTTGTCTAACAAAAAAATAATGAAAAAACGAAAGGATATTTGAAAGGGTTTTGAAATCAAAGGCTATTGCATGACAGGCGCAATAGCAGTATAAGTTGAGCGGGCGCGAACGCGGCGCGCGCGTATCCTCACCGTTGTAAATCCTGCGCCTTCTGCGCTCTGCGGCTAATAAAGCCGCGTTCGCGCGCAAAAATATTGCTCCTTCGTGCAGCAGCCTATAGCTTTTCATAGTTGAATGGATATTCAACCGAATATTCATGAACTGAAGATTCTGTTTTGATGTTTTTTTTTTGAGAAATATTTCCTGACATAGTGGTGTTTTTGATCTCAAAAGTCTTTCAACCAATGCGGTCTACTGTTCCAGATCTGCTCAAAAATCGTGACAATTTTGAGAAAGTTTAGTTTACCTACCTTTTACTGCTTCGATCAGCAGCATTACTAGACAGTAGATAATCATCGCCGCACCGTCACAGGTAGAGGACGTCGCGCAATGACCGAGGAGTTGGAGGTCTTGTTCGGCAAAAAGAATGTCCGATTTAGTAGAGCGACAGACAAATTGTGCAAGTCTTGCCCTTCACACCTATGCGCGCGCGAGCGGGTACAAAGCAAGTGATAGGAATTGTTGGTGACTTTAAATGTTGAAGGTTAGTGGTGAAAAGTGTTCGCAATGTCATGTTGTTTTCGATTTTCGTCCGTGAGGTTGCTGTTGAGAACGAAAACGAAAAATAATCGTTGTAAATACGCGGTTAATGTGGGTTTTTTGGGGTTGGACATTAAGGTGGCCTGTAGGAGGTGTGGTCATCTGTCTGCGGCACAGAAAAAAGATATGGTAAACTCCGAGTTTTCTGGGAGTAACTAAAAATCTAAATTATTGTCTGTGATAAGAATGTGCTAATATTTTTTTTCAGTAATTTTTTTGAAGTCAAGACGCTTATCTGCAATGTTCGTTAAGCCGTTCTAAAATGGGTGTTTCAGTTATTTATATGGATCAGTTCGAGTTAACTTTTCTAAATTGCCAAACGACCTTGGAATGAAAAATTGTAGCAAATGACCTTCTCACTTCCCCATGCAAGAACAACTTCCGTGCAGTAAAACAACGAGTGCAGATATCATGATTGTAAAAACGAGCTGCTGTTGACGGATTGTTCTATGGACAGTGTTTTGCAATGGCGCACTCAGACAGAAAACCACCGGAACTACAAATTCCGGTTTTGTGAATGCGTTAATTTTGGAATATTATCTTGAGATACTGAAATACCCTCTCCTTTTCGCTGTCATGCTATAATTCTCTGTTTATTTTCAGGGCTTATCTCCCGAATATGCAGCAAATGAAATTCTTCGTGCGGCTTCGAATCGAGAAATTGACCTCGACATGGCACCCCTGTCGAACCGATTTGCTATCTTCCTGCGTTGGGCATGTCCGACTCTGCTCTTCTATCTGCTCCACAAACGAGGATTGAAGGACGAATATGCAACCAAAAAGACTGAGTAGAATGAACTCCAGTTAGTTCCAGAGAATTATGGATCTTTGCAGGTACTGTATCTAGTTTTGTCACATTTGCCCACTATTGCCAAAATTCAGAAGTTTTATGTTGTAAGAATACTTGAATAAATCGTTTGATTGCTTGAACTGTACACACATCATGCATCGGAGTTTCCCTAAATTTTTCTTATTTCTCAATCAAGTATAGTTTTTTAGGTGTGTAACTATCGCGGATACATCAAGTTGAATCGCTCAAAATTCGAGAAAGATCTACATGATCTGAAACGAGGGATCGAAAGGAATCTATTAGGAGATACTGGACCAAGTATTCCAGATGAGAAAGATGTAAGTGCTTGAAATTTTCATTCTGTCTAAATTCAGTCCTTTCCACTTCCCTTTTCAACTAATTTATTTTTCTCTGTGTTCGTTTTCTACGAAATTTTTCCCTTCATGATTTGAAACTTAACAAATTTATGAGGCCTATTTATTATTTTATTTCCTATTCCTATTTATTAATACTTTAGTGCTCATGTGTTTTGTCGCGGCTGCATTTTATTTTGTGAAAAAGTATGCAATCTCAAAATAGATTAGTGTAGAAGAAAATTTGTAGTCATTGACCAAGAACGCGGCATCTATCTTATCATTTTGATCGCATAAAGTCCGCTCTTTTTGTAGGGACTGTGCTTGGAATAACTAGTCCTTTTATTATTGTAAAATTTATTTACTTTTTTGATCTCGGGGTGCCTAACGTTTACCTTTCCTGATCATTGCTACTTCTTTATTGTTCATGCGCGTGACACTTTTTTTCACCAGTCACACTTACTCATCATGTTGAAGGTGAACGACTTTCTGCGCTCGAATGCTTGGCTTCTTGGTGGTTTTGCTGCAGGATGGCTTCTCGGTTTTGGATTAGCATAAGCTTATAATTATTGTCAAGTTGTAATTCCGTACATTGACATTCTGGTGCTTTCAAAGCACTTTAAGAGAGAGATCTCTTTGAATTTTTTGTCATGTATCATTTTTGAATCAAGAATAATGTTTCCCTTCAACCTCCCTTCTACAAGGTCGCTGTGTTGGCATTATGTGTTTTGTTTCTTAGATTCGAAGCTGCAGTCATTTGTAGTAGCCAGGTGGGGCGCTTTAGGCCATATAGTAATGTAGAAAATCCACTTTTAATGTGCGTAATTTACTGAAACGCATACTAGCTTGACGTTTTGAATTTGTTATTTTGCTAGCTGTGTCTCTCTACAAATTCATTTAGTCTGATGAAAGCTTGTCATCTTATAAAAGAGCTTTATCTCAATTTTCGCTAGATCTGCATTGTTTCAGTGCTTATGTATAGTTCCTAGTGTCAAGTTGTATCAGATATTTTAGCAAGCTGAAATAAACATCCAAAATTTTACCTGCTGCTCGATTCCTGATTATAGAGTACTTGAGATATGCAACGATAACTGTGAAAAGAGACTTGCCCTTTTTTGGATTTTCTCTATCATCTGCGCGATTACGCGCAGCGCGTTCGCAAATGTGCTGTATAGATCTGTAGATCCAAACATGTTATACAGCAATATTTATTACATGTGACTATAAAACAGACTTATGAGAAGAAACGCAATAGGTACAAATGAATTGTGACAAGAATTTTATGCTCTGCTACAGGCATTATCAGGGAAAGCATTACTGAACAAATTATGTAGATTTCTGTCATGGAACAATTATTTGAATCAAACTATCACTACACAAAATTAACATTATAATTAAGTAGTCAACCGAGTTGCGAATATCACAATACGAGTGCATTCATAAACAAGCTGTCTCAATGACACTGTCGCTTGCATCAGCGGCTCGGGTTTGCGTGGCTGACGCGCATAGAACTTGCGCCGCGTCTGCGGACATATCGTTTTGGGCTGCGGACATATCGCTCTGGGCTTTTTCAGGAATGAGTGACGATGGAAGGTTAAAGGGCATGGGAAAATTCTTGGAGAATACGCAGACGCGGCGCAAGCTTCAAGCGAGGCGGCTGCGCCTACCCGGCAGCTGGACACTGTCACTGAAACAGCTTGTGCGTAAGTAAAGAGAGGAAAGATTCACAGCAACGAGAACTGAGCTTGAGACATACTAATTCTATGCTTTTCCCTTGTCACCCTTTCTCGCCCCCCCCCCTCTCATTCATCCACGATAAATAGAAAGCTCAGAACCTGCTTGCTGCCTCAGACCTTCAATTCATCTATCACCTAATGAAACAAGTGAAGAAAGCCTTAGAGAGTGTCATCAATCGGCAAAAAAGATAGAGGAAGCAAAGAAAACTTAAAAATTTGGCAAATGTTTCACAAGCGCACAAATCACGACTCAGGATATGCTCTAACCAGCAAGAACAGCGAGATTTATAGTAAATTTATGCATATGGTGCGATTGCACTCCGTGCATTTGGTGCAACTGCATGATTTGCTCGATTTGGTGTGCGGCGTGCAATTGCACTCAGCGTGAACCTTTTACATCAAGCTGCATGCACAACATTGTTTCTTGGTATCTTGGTCTTTGGTTGTGTCAGGATAGCGGCGGTTGATTTGTCGTATCAAGTCGTAGAATACCTAAAATCATTTTTTTTTATTCGCAAGACTTTTTGAATTTTTTCCGTTAGGCTTCAGTTTTGCTGCATTCATAGAGGCAACCTTAAATTCAGCTGGCGCGGCTGGAAGGCGGGGCTTTATGACCTAATTATAGCCGCTCGCGCCCGCGACGCAGTCTGCGTCTCTCTCGGGTGCGTGCTCTCTATTTATTGCCTTGCCTTAAATTAGCACGAAGTCCCGCCTTGCAGCCGCCAAGCCAGTTGAATCAAAAGAAACTTTTATCGATTTTTTTCAAGGCATGAGTTTTTTTAGCAAGAAATGGTCAGAATTTCCTGATATATTGAAGTTAGCGTTTATAGAACTGGCAAAAAGTCAAATTTATCAACTGTTCTTTGCAGGAAAAAGCTGTTGACCGCCCCCCCCCCTCCATTTGAGCGATAAATCACATAATCAACACTGAACTTTGCAGCGTAATTTTTTCAGCCTACCTCGTTGACGTTGATTTTTGCTTTTGCCGAAGTTTCCAGATAGGCGGAACCGATTTGTCGTGCAAGATTCAAACCTTGATCTTTGCCCACTACTCGTTCATCTTCAAGATCGCATTTGTTACCGACCAATATCATTGGTACCTGAAGAGAAAAATTCGCGAAGTCTATAACCCTTTTTTGCTGTAAAATTGATCACCGCTCACTTCATCAGTGTCTTTGACTCGTAGAATTTGATCTCGGAGATCCATTAAGTCGTTAAAGGTTGATTGAGCTGTGATTGAGTAGACAAGCACAAAACCTTGACCATTTTTCATGTAGAGATCTCGCATAGCTGTGAATTGTTCCTGAATAAGAATTGTCATTGGACGAGCTTCTAAGATTCCTCGAAAAAAGTAAATTTTTGTCAGAGACTAAATCTATCTTTCTCCAATTATTATGTTAAATTGATTAAATTGACTCACAGTTCCAGCAGTGTCCAAAATTTCCAACATGCATTGTTGCCCATCGACTTCCACTTGCTGAAAAAAATCTCAAAGTAAAATAATAACTTTTAAAATTCTTAATTTTTACCTTTCTGTAGCTATCCTCGATAGTTGGATCATATTTTTCTACAAAAATTCCTTGCACAAATTGTACGGTCTATAAAAATTCATTTAAAACAAAGAAATGCTTCAGGAAAACCAAAAACAACTCACTAAAGCTGATTTTCCCACACCTCCACTCCCTAAGACTACAATTTTGTATTCACGCATGCTTCCTGGAATTATAAAAGTGACAATTCATAAAATAGGAAAAACATGGGATAAGAATGCGATTTTGAGATGGAAACAAGGAGAAAAAATTGAGAATTCACTGGAGTTTTTTAGTGAATGCTCATTCAAAAGCAGAATTTTTTGAATTTTTTGTTGGCTGGCGAAGGACACAGATCGTTAGAGTAAGCGCATGCACAATTGTTGAATTATAGTTGCTTAGTGAGTCTGCTAGGCAACGTGTAAAATTCTCGGCTAAAAAAAAACGCCCTTAACGACGTGAAGGACGAAACGATAACGGCTTGAAAAATATGTGTTCTCTTGCAAATGCTCATCGAGACAATATTGTGAACCCTAGAAATCAAATTCTCCCATGAGCGGGCTGAGCAATTGCTCGTGAAAAAAGAATATCAAAAAGCGCTCCCTATCATGACGATGGAAATTCAAAGTCTCAAGATAGAAGTTTAAAATAATTCAAAGGATGAGCTTGAGTAAATTTGTTAACGTCAAGAGTCAGAATATGCACTTGCAAGGTCACGATGTTATCTTATCATTATTTTGCGGTCTGAATAGCACCTGTACTCGACCAATGACTCAACTTGATGACATCTCTTTTTCCAAAGTACAAATTCATACGAGTACATAAATATAGCAACGAAGTTTTTTCTAACTATTTTCTTGCTTTTTCACCTCCACAGATCAATATTTGGACAAAAAAGGGCTTCTCAAAAAAATAATTTGGCTTACTGCTTTCTATTAGGTTGTCCCGAAAGTTCTGTCGCACCATTTTCAAAAATTCATAACTTCTGTTTTTTCTAACCGATTTGGACGCTTTCATATGTGCATGAAAGAGTAAGTCATGCTCTTTACAAAGACATCTTAGGGGCTTGCTAATGATCATCTGTTGCATAGATAGGAGCGATAGAAGAAAATTAGTCGAAATTGGAATTTTCCGTGTAGGGTCATAAAAAATCGGAAACCTGCAACAAAAATCGGAGCAGTCGGTGTTGTAGATTCTTTCACCAGCTCTTTCTAACAGTGCAAAGTTTGCGCCGATTGAGCGTTTCTATGAAAAGTTATGATTTCTCTGAAGAATGCCAAAATAAAACAAATTCGCCCTTTTCTATTGCTTGCTCGAATCGTAACTTTTCATAGAGACGCTCAATCGGCGCAAACTTTGCAGTATTAGAAAGAGCTGGTGAAAGAACCCACAATACCGACTGCTCCGATTTTTGTGGCAAGTTTCCGATTTTTTGTGACCCCAAACAGAAATTCGAATTTTGACTAATTTTCTTCTACCGCTCCTATTCATGCAACAGATGATCATTAGCAAGCAGATAAGATGTCATTGTAAAGGGCATGAGTTACTCTCTCATACAAAAATAAATACAGCCAAATTGGTTGAAAAATCGGAAGTTATGAATTTTTGAAGATGGTGCGAACGAACTTTCGGGACGACCTAATTGTTCTTGTGTTGAAAATTATAGGTTAAACCATAGCTTTACCTAACTTTAAAAAGGGTTGCAACTCTTTTCGTTACTCTGACCTTACTGTGCATTCCTTACGAGTATTACGCTTTGATTCAACGGTATTGGCTGGTGGAAGGCGACCGCTCGCAACCGCGGCGCAGGCTGCGTCTCCCTCGCCAGCGTGCTCTCTAGTCATTCCATAGCCTTGATTAGGCCTCGAAGCCCCACCTTTCAGCCGCCAATCCCGATGAATCAGAGGGTAATCGTATAAAATAAAAGTAAATCACTAAGAGGTCAGAAAGAGATTTTTAAAAAAGTGAAAATTGTCTAAATTTGAGGTCGCGGAATCTTACTACACACGATTCATGACAGGCAAGACTGGGCGCGGTTGCGCCCGGCCAAGATAGTTCGTGCATGGGAGAGACAGCAGATGGTAAGAGAAACGGAAGAGCGCTCGACCAGAGAGACGCCGATAGGTCCGCAGTCTCTCCGCGTGCTACGATTCGCCTATAAATAGTAATCTCAATAAGTTTAAGGATAAATTCTGCGTGAGCAGCAATGAGAGCATAATGAAGCAATTTCTTTAATTCACAAGTAATTTATCTTAGCAAAAACACCCTTATCTCTACGAGGACCTCAAGATTTTTGTAAAATTTTGAAAGATTCAAAAAAAGAGTTTTTACCATAATGCGAGTTAATCAAATTGCAAAATCTCGAAGTCAAATTGTAAAATTATTTTAATTGTAAAATTTGTAATCTCGAATTAATATCGATGCAAGTGATCTACTGTTCGGACTGAATAAGGAAGCAGAACTATTTCTAAGACTGGAACGAGAATATACAGTATACTTTACTTCGAATTGAAACGTATTAGAATGTTTTAGAAAAAGAGCGGCGCACATAGAAATGTTTTTTTAATCGAAAGCGTAAAAGCGAAGAGAGCCTATAGCTCTAGTATTCATAATGCTAAGTGTGTACAAGGCGAAATTCCAAGAATGGCACTTGAGACGAGTACTTTCGAAGATTGGGTTTTGCTAGGCTTTTATTCAAAGAACTATACAGCTCTATAGATGTATGAGTCTGCGAGGAAAAGTCGATTGATTGTTTTGAGGAAATAAAAGAAACTAAATAAGTTTTCTGAATGGATGAACAAGGAATGAAGCGCTTAGGAACTAAGCGAGTTTTGAGTGACTTACGAAAACAGGTACCACGCGCTGAGTGCTTTTCTTTGCAATGAAGTTTTTTTTCAAGATAAAAGCACTTTGCAGAAATTTATGGTCCTTTAATGGAATATTAATGCAAAAGCGCACCTTTTAGCGTCGTAGCAAAGTTTATTGCTTATAATAGAATATGTATGGGTGCAGCAGTATCGATTAAAGAGGAGGGAGTGAATGCTAAAGAAGAAAAACAAGGAAAATACCTTAATTTGCTCGCGAATGGAGATGAGAACATGAATAGCTTGGCTAAAGGATGCGATTGGGTAGCAAAAGAGGTTCAAGGGTAATTTGTCCTTGGGTTTGAACAGGTAAGTAGGCAACAACAGCGAATCGGCATGGTACGAGTGGTTTATAAATAGTTTGAAAAATATTGATTGGAATTTGTATTTTGTTGCTCATCTACACGTCATTAACATTTTCAAATAAGAAAAAATTCTTCGAGTTTTCTGAAAATTTTGTTGTTTTAGAATGAAATTTTCCAAGAAGGTCAAAGATATGTACTCTTTAGAACTTTTTGAAAAATTGTAAACATTCTGTATCAATTCCTAAAAGATGCGCAAAAAAAAGAATTTTCGAAATTTTGGATTATTTTGAAATTTTTACATGTAATATCATTTTTGAGATGAAAGCCAATGCTGAAAGAACTCTTCAAAAGTCTGTTGGGAAATTTGAAGAAAGAAGACAAAATCTAGACTTGTCAATTGTCGTAAACTTGTTAGTTATATGTGCATTTCCGGCATCATTCACAAAACTGAATAAACTATCTCACAACTTAGGAATGAAACAATTTCGGGATTCTTATGATGACTCCGGAATGTTTTAAAAATTAAATCTATCAAAAAAAATCAATAATCAAAATTTTTCCACATTAGAGAAGAACAAAGCAAAAATTTCTGCCAATCTCATGATTGTAACGTCCACGAAGATTTGCTTTTTATTATGTTAACAAAGATCTCGATACAAAAAAGCAGTAATAAACAAAGTTTTTTAATCAACAACGCGAGATTTTACGACTGAAAATAAATTTCAAAAAAAAAGGCGCCAGTGGATTTTGGCGATCTGGTTTTGATGACACTAACATCAAGACGATTAGATTTATGTTTATTTGAAGATCGTTTATCTGCAAAGTGCAGGAACTAGAAACTTTACAGCAGCCTGGAAATCTCAGTCGCAGATTTCCATGTGGTTTTATCGGCATTTTTTGGTCTTTTGAGCTCCTCGGAGGCTATTGTTTAGTCTACAAAATATCCTATCATGTATCAAACGACGTGCATAATTCAAAAGCTTGCACGCAAGTAAACTAATAATCATCAAAAATGTTTCGCGTCTCGTCATATATGCAATTTAGGTGAAATAAAATGTAATTTTGTTATTTATAGTGATGTTCAGTAGCGTAAACCATTATTTGCAGTATAAGGGCACTTTGTAAAATTTATTTGGACCCATTGATGTTTTGTATTACGTAATATGGGCATAAGAAATCAGAGATTAGTAGAGTAAGGTGAATCCCAAACATAAACACTTTCTCTCATCGTTTCGTTTTTTTTTCGAGCTACAGCATGGCCCATTTCCATTATCATGCAAATTTCACATAAGTTGAGAGTGAAGAATTGATTTGAAAAAAAGAAAAGAAGGGGAAATCTTTTGAGAGGAGCATAAGGAACATCAAACAAGCACGACGGACAAGGAGTCTAAAACCAGAAGTACCGAGCTTATGAGGGCTCAGTCATAAATATTTGACTCATTCGTCAAGCAGGGCTTTGCTCAGAATCTATCTAATGATTCACGCATGAGGTGGGCGAATCAGACGTATGTTGACATCATTTTAGGTTATGGTAGTGAACATGGATGAGAATTTTCGATTCCAGGAAACTTCTGTAACAAGAATCCTCAGAGGAATGTTAATCACTGGTTTACGATGGGGTGTCGCTAAAATAAGCGCGGTTTTTTATGTGAATATAGTTTCTTTCGAAGATTTTCATGTTTTCTTTCATCACACCTCTCTCGAAAAAAAGGCAGTAAACAAGAAGAAAGCACTTTTCATCACTCAGCGATCGCTAAAGGATATCCTTCTAGAAAGATAAATCTGAAAATTTTTATTTTGCCATACAAAGGCACCAGTGGCGTAAACAGGATTTCGGCTCGGGGGGGGGGGGGGGGGCGCGGCAAAAAATTTTTTCAAATGAAGGTGCGTGGCGTCAGCCACGCCCCCGAAAAAATTTTTTTTATAAAGCTAATTTGAATTTTTAAAAAATTTAAAAAATTATTTTAATTGTTTACAAAAATAAACAAGTCATTTGCACATTTTTATAACTCATGTAAG